TAGCGGCGTGACCTTGGATAGTACACTTAGTGAATACCTTGTTGACCTTAATTTTTTATTTAGATGATGAATGTGATCAGACCAACTTAATTTTGAGTCTAAATTTAGACCTAAAAACTTAACAATTTTTGTATTACTGATTGTGGTGTCTGTAACTCTGTTTCTGAGTTTAAATTGAAGAATGTTAGTTTTACATTCATTTAATTTCAGGCCATGGCTCTCAAACCATTCATTGATTTTTTTAATTGTGCTGTCAAAAGTTAATTTAAGTTCACTTAGTGTTTTTCTTTTTAAAAGAGCAGTTGTGTCATCAGCATACAAAGTGAAAGCACAGGAATTTGTGGAAAGGCAATTAGGCAAGTCATTAATAAATATAATAAATAATAAAGGCCCAAGTATGGAACCTTGGGGAACACCATATGTAACGCTGGCCCAGTTAGAATAATATTTTATTGATTTTTTTATTACTATTGTGCGCTGCTTTCGATTGAATAGGTATGATCGTAATAATTCTAGTGCCATTCCCTCCAAGCCAATATTCTTCAATTTGATCAGCAGCAACCTGTGGTCCACACAGTCAAAAGCCCTGGATAAGTCACAGAAAACTCCTGCAGTCAACTGTGACTGATCCAGAGCTTCAAGGACACTACTAATATAAGTAAAAAGAGCATTATGTGTGCTTAGATTTCTTCTAAAACCAAACTGCTCTTGACACAGTTTTGAGTTACATTCTAGGTAATTTGCAATTCTAAGATGAATAATTTTTTCAAAAATTTTAGATATATTACTGAGTAAAGAAATTGGTCTGTAATTTTGACTATTATTATGTTTGCCTTTTTTTAAAATTGGTCTGATTTCAGACAATTTTAGCAAGTCTGGAAATTCACCCTCACTAAATGATTGATTGATGAGTCTAGCTATAATATCAGAAATAATGTCAGCAGTCCATTTCAATAATTTAGTGGGAATCTCATCCCAACCACAAGAATTACTATTACTTAAACTTAAGATAGCATTTTTAACTTCAAATTTGTTGGTAAAAGCCAAAAACTGTAATTTATCTGTATTGTCTGATTCTAAAGAGTTTTTACTGATGTACTTGTTATTGATGAAAGAGACATTTGGCACATTTAATATTTCCTTTATGTTGGAAAATTGAAAATTAAGATATTCTGCAATTTCTTTGGGTTCATTTATCACCCTATCCCCAACATCAATTTTAGTAGTAGTCTCCGTTTTTACTTGAATGCCCAGTTCTTTTTTAACAACTCCCCACATAGCTTTACTCTTGTTACAAGATTTAATAATAAAATTACTATTATGCAATCTCTTAGCCTGCAAAACTACCTTTTTGAAAATTCTTTTATAGTTCTTAACATAGTTCAAAAATGATTTTTGTCTACATGTTTTTGCCAATTGGTGTAATCTTCTTTTAGTCTCTGAAGAAATCATTATACCCTGAGTAATCCAATTCTCCTTACATTGGTTTTTCTTTTCTTTAATTAATATCACAGGATAAACTTCATTCAGTGAAAGTGTAAAACTAGATAAAAAAGATTTGTAGTTGTCATTCACAGATTTGTCTAGAGCTAAAGACTTGATATTGTCACTTAATGAATTAATAAAAAGTGGTAATTTTTTAATAGGAAAAAAGCGAATTCTTTTGTATACACTTTCAGGCAAGTTTAAGGTTTTAGGCAATTGTAAAAATAATGCATTATGGTCAGACATGCCAAGATCAATATTTATGGTTGCGTTTTTATCATAGCTTACACTTGTGAGAATATTATCTATGCATGTTTACTGAGGAGATAAATGAAATATTTTAAGCCTATGTTGAATTGGTTTTATAATATTTTTGAATCTTGTGTTATGTGTATGAGATGGTTGACAGTCCATGAATGTATCGAAATCACTTTTAACCATTAATGCCAATTTGTATATATAAGAGCTAAAAAAGGTCAAAATTTTAAACTGAATAAATAAATCTTTACAATGTGTTCTATTGGGAACTCTGGCCATTATTCTTACTGCTCTTTTTTGAAGGACAAATATTTTTTTGGCCTGACTTGATGAGCCCCATACAGTAATTCCATAATTCATAATCGATGAAAAATATGCATGATATACTGCTATTTGTGTTTTTAAATTAGTAGTATCCCTGATTATCGTAAGAACAAATGTTGCTGAACGTAGTCTTTTTGATAGGTTTTTAATGTGATTTTGCCAATTTAATTGTGAATCAATATCAATTCCCAGATAATTTATTAATTTTTGTGAGTGAATTGAATTAAAGTTTGTATTTAAACAGATTTCTTGGTTAATATTGGATGCAGAAAACTGAATTAGTTGGGTTTTTTCTACATTCATGGACAGACCATTTACTGCAAACCAGTCCCCGAGAAGTTGAAATTCCTGAGTTATTGAGGCTTGTATGATGTCATTGTTCTGTCCTGTACAAATTAGAGCTGTATCATCTGCATATTGAAAGGTAGACATCTTAGTAGCTTTACATAGATCATTAACATATATGATAAATAAACAAGGGCCAAGAATGGAGCCCTGAGGAACTCCACAGGGGTTTATGTTCCACTCTGATTTATAATTTCTCTGCATTTTTTGTATAATAAGTCTTTGTTTTCGGTTTTTTAAATAGGATCCAAACCACTTTAATTCAGTGTTTTTTATTCCATGCTTACTTAGTTTTTCTAAAAGTATATCATGATCCACACAGTCAAAAGCCTTGGATAAGTCACACAGCACACCCACAGTCTTCTGCGAACCATCCAAGGCTTTCGAAATGTAGTCAATTATTTTTGTTATGGATTTTTCAGTACTAAGCCCTGGGCGGAAACCAAACTGTGACGGATTTATTAGATTATTGCTTTCCAAAAATTCTGTTAGCTGAATCTTAACAATTTTTTCAAAAATCTTTGAAAAACATGGCAAAATTGCTATAGGACGGTAGTTAGAAGGATCGTTGACATCACCCTTTTTGAATAGCGGTTTAATCTCAGCAAACTTAAGCTTATCAGGAAAAACACCCTCGTCAAGGGACTGATTTACTATTTGGCATAATGGATGTTCGATAAATTTAAAGACTCTTTTAACGACAAAAAGAGGAATATCGTCCCAACCTGAGGACTTAGTGTTACTGAGAGATGCAAAAACTTTTCTTAATTCGTTAATTGAAACCTTTCTAAATTTAAATGTGAATTTGGAAGGTGGATGATTTTTAGTTAGTAGCTGAATGGCTTTAGATTTATCTGTTGACTGGTTAGCATACTGAGAAATATTAATAAAAAAAGTATTGAAGTTATTTGCTACCGCTACTGCAGAATTTTGTGTATTCCATTCATGTTGGAATTTAATTTCTACTGGGGTATCAGATATTTGCTTATTAAGTCCTGTTTCATTTTTCACTACTACCCAAGATGCTTTACTTTTATTTTTAGACTTATTAATAAAGTCATCATTAGCTTTAAGTTTTGCTAGTGCAACTACTTTTTTGAAAACCTTTCTGTAGTTTTTGTAATAAGTTAAAAACTGAGGGTTTCGATTCCATTTTGATTCTTGGTGCAACTTACTTTTATTATCTGCAGAAATCTTTATTCCTGTTGTTACCCAGTTGTTTTTCTTCCGTTTATTCTTTGGACAGTCAATTTTTTTAGGGAATGCCTCATTGAATAAATTTAGAAAAAGTGTAAAAAATGTATTATAATTGGTATCTACGTTAAAGTTTTCAGAAAGGTTCCATCTTGATAGCTTAATGCATACCTGCGAGATGTGTTGGTTCCAACTCAGCCTAGAATCTACCATGAAACTAATCAATTTAACCTAATCAATTTATATATAGGCCCTCCTAAATAATTAGGTCTAGGCCTGGGTCTTTTGATTCTTTGGAAGAGCTTTAAAATATACTAAGAAAATTGGATTGAGCCTGAGATAAACTAATGATTGCTGATATGATTGATATTGTGGATGTTATCTTTGTAAATGAAAAGACAATAATCTTACTCTGTGATAATCCAAATTTTAGTTTCAGAAAAAAAATTTGCAAGAGTTGTATTCATCTTATAACTAGTTTTGAAGCTGATAAAAAAAAGATGCTCTTTGCCATTACTTCATCATAACCTCCAGTTTTTAATTGTCGTCTGCTGTGAACAGCTGGCAAAACTACACTGTCTTCGTACTGAATGTTTTTATATGTTTTTAAAAATTTTAAAAACAATTAACTAGACATTGTGTAGGTTGGAAATAATTTACCAGTTTTGTGAAATTATCTTGTCAATAAATGTTTCAAACATGTTTATTCATAATAACTCTTATCCTATTTTAAAACCACTTTATCATGGATATTCAAAATATCTCAGAGTAAAATAGGTAAAGCCTTTATCTTAACTGTGATTTTTCTTGACACAATCCTTGTAGTAGTAAAAGGTTTTGTTTTAATAATGTGTGGTACAGTAATTGTTGTTAGAAAACCATGAATGTAGGATACTATCCATAGTAATGTCAATGTATTTAAGTTCAAAATAATGGTTTAAATACAGTTCTGAGAAGAAAACCGCAAAAATACGGGTAGCCGCGTACCGTACGGATTTTGTACCGAGAAACGAGGTACAAAATATTGTACCGTACCGAACCGTACTGACCTTAAATTTTCTGTACCGCAGACCCCTAATATTTTATAATATCATAGAAATTGTAAATATGTAGACTTATGTTTATTTGTTTAACGTATCCTACAAACACCACAAGCAATACTCCGTCCCCTGGTACTAAATAATTAACTACAATATACCTAGAGCAGAATTAGTTGAGCTTTTCTCTCATTTATGTACTGGGCATAGTGCTGTATAAAAATGATTGAGATCAAAACTATGGGAAAATAAACCTACTCTTTGCCCATCAAAGAAGTGGTTAATCCAAGTGGCATTGGATCCAAGGCTGGTGAGATAGGACTTATTGTGTTAACTATACATCGTAACTTAGTCTACCTCCTTCCGGTACATTCTCCAGCTTGATGTGTTCCTCGCCAGAGTCAGCGATGGTGACACTACCCAGGGAGTCCTGGAACAGTCCGCGTGTCCTGCTGGCTCCCTTGCGATAAACGGACTCCCTACCTCGTATCAGCTGCAAACATTGCTTACACTTACGACCAGTACTAACTGCTACTCTAACTAACCATTAACTATAACATAAACAAAGTTTTAGCAGGAAATGCAATTTTAACAGGTGTGTATACAGCTTAAATGTTCACAGTTTAAAAGTAAAGAGTCAGTTTTACAAAAAGAGTTAGATAACATAAATATTGAGTCAGGCCTTTATTGATCAAAGTTACCATTTCAAACCTAAAGTAAAACATTATTATTTACTATAGTAGAAAAAAATACTTAACACGTTTGCTACCGATCACCACATATTTGCGTCGCTGCGGTCATTGCCACGGCCCGAGGTATACATTTTCATATTGCACATAAACCAGGTTTCACTTGGTTAACAGTACACGGGCCAGTGGTGCAGCAAAGTAAAAAACAGTTTTGCCAACTATGATATGATGTCACTAATCGCATCCACATACCAAGTGACGCACATATGCAACAGACATCCCTGTAGACCTCTGCAGAGAATTCAGGGCCTTCAAATAGACCGTTACAAAGATATAAGTTTTTAATAGCATTTAATAACTACGCAAATATGCAAAGTCAGTTTATTTTAATGTGACCAGCCAACGCATGCGACGGCAGTATGGGTAGAAACCGGCCGTAGCATGGTGCGTTACTGGTCCATAAGGATGAAAAACTTAGTACTACTGCGGTAGCCAAGGTGTAAACATTTACAAATAGGCCTATCACAAATGTTATTAGTTTTAAAGGAGTAATATTGGAGTGAGTATACAATTATTGCTTAAAAATTTGTAAATATCTTTCTATTTCCAAGAGGAGGTAAAATTTTATTTGAGATTAACTCTTAATATACCAGTACTCGATCTATTTGGTGTTAAACATAATGTATTCATTAATTAATTTATTAGCTACTTAAGCATGTAACTTACTTCAACATGGTACCATAAAATTAATGTTCAAATGCCGCATTATCTCAATTCTAACATAAATATGATCCAGTCTGCATGTAACAAGAATAATGGAAATACTGACTCAAAACAATTGAATTTCTACTTACTAATTTTAGCATGCCAGCATAATAGAATTTTTAAATAATTTTAATAATATTCACAATGATTCTAATTTACTAGACTTGAACTAGTCTAACTCAGTAAAAACAGCAAGCTACTCTTTAATCTGTGCAAACCCAAAAGCAATGTGTGTTCAAAGACTTCAACAGAAATAAAATGTTTAAATATCACTAACAGGCAACAAGGCAACTGTACAAAAGAGTCTTGTAAATGAATGAGTGGGGTGGTCGTCAATTTTCCAATACTTCTAAGCACACCATCGTCTTGGGAAAAATAAGGATCTCCTATAATTGTATATGATTTTTTTGAAAAATCAGAGTGGGAACATCGTTCTCACCTCACTAGGCCTACACCACTGATCAACTGCAATATTATTTGTTCAAGCACTCTAGGATTTTACAATTCTAATGGGATTATTTTAAGGAAATTCTTAGATGGATTGTTTCATCACAATATTTTTGTAACTAATGCTATTGTTGCTATTGTATATGTTATTGTAAGAATTTCTTTATGCTATTGGGTTCTTAGAAGTAAGCAAAATACATTTTTTGAACCTTTACACGTAAAAAATATTCCAACTTAAATAGTTGATTGATTTAGAGAAATTTCCATTCCTCACAATAAACAATAGCCTACTTTTTCGATAAAGTTATAAATGCAAATTACTTAAAAGAATACGTACTGGAGTAGACTCAGTAACAGAAACAGAACTTTGGGAAGGATTTTGAGTTCCCTAAAACAAAGCAAACAAAAAGAAAGTGCCATCACCAATTAGCTGTGAAAAGCAAAAATTATATACATGCAAAACTGTTGCAAATTAGTTGTATGTGTTAAATTATGTAAAAGGCTTGGGAGTATGGACTGTTAGTTAAAAACCAAAGTAATTCAAGACATTAATAAAGTGATTGTTATTCAGCCAACAATAATTATGGATGATTTGAATAAGGAACCAAAGAATTCAAATGATTTGCTATTTCTATGGTACACAGAGTTTTGGTTTATCCATGTTGGAACATCTACATATGTATAAACATGAAATCCTTTAAATTTCCAATAGTCAAAAATATTTTCAGGTAATCAATATTATTTTAGTTAACATAAAATATTATAGAACCAATTTGCAACAAAATTATATGTCAATGGAGCAAGGTTGTGATATAATACAACGCACCAACCACCTCAATCACCTGAAAAATATAGACGTGCATCCAAATAATACAAAGATTTAGTTAATCGAGAATTTATAAAATAAAACCTAGCAGGCTTGGCGAATATTATCCATGGGGCAAAAACTACAAACAATTTATTCCTGTCATTATAATGACCATTGGTTAAATATCAAATCTTTCATTTTAAAACAATAATTATGTATAAAATGTTGAACACTTTTTAGATAAAATAATGAAATGAAAGTTAAATGTTAATAATCTTTAATAATAAAGTGTTGAGTTTCGCTATCATTTTGAAACAATAACATATTGAAACTTATTTCTGGAATGTTAGTTAAATTTTTAGCATTGAGTGGGGGGGGGGATTGTATTGAAAAGTGTTATAGGAAACTAAGCCTGGTGAAATTTCAGAAAACTTGCAACTTCGTTCAGGATAAATAATGTTTTTCTGGTAAAAGAAACTTTTTCAATTCAGTTTTTAAGCATAATCCTGGAGAAAAAAAAAATTGTCCACAGCTTTGCCATAAGTGATATATTTTTTAAGCTTTTGGTAATTTTATTGCTAGAAATACTTTAAGCCTTCCATCGACAGAATCCGAATGATCCTCAAACTGCTAAAATTCTAATAAAACTTAAAGAATGTTCATAAAATAAAGTGCAAAGAAAATTTCTTCTTTGACAACGACACAAGCGGGTGTATCCATGGGACACAAAGACCAACACACTGCTTTGTACAACCTGCGAGGTAGAAGTCATGCACAATGTACGACAACGATTACGAGGCCAAGAAGAAGACAACAGAAGAAAGCTTGAATCGCTGTAACATACTCTGACTTTACGAGTGGCTGACCGCCATCGACTTGTCTGGTTACGTAAGAGACGTTTCTGCGACAATCGGGCGGAAAGTTGACGAGCCATTCCATCATCTGTATTCCCTGCCTGCAATGGTATACAATCATCCCAACCTTCAAAAAACACTTTACCTGCCGTCAACATAAAATACAAACCAAGCAAAACTTTGATGAAAAACTGACAAACTCTCGACATCAAAATGGTGTTTCAAACACTGCAGCCGAGCACCAAAATTATGTATGAAAATTAAAAAACAAACAAAACCCCAACGTGAAATCGCAGATGGAAAAATTATGTACAATAACTGTTGACTAAGGCTTTAAAACTGTCTAATCTAAGACTATTGTTGGTCAAAATGCAAATCTACGTGAAAACATACTAATCAAAACTGATCTTACAAAAATAATATTACAGTACTATTTTTTTTTTTTTTTTTTTACTTAAAGCTACTTAAAATTTTTTTACAGCCACTATCTAAAACTGATAGTTTGTGTTTTCAAGTTTGTTTCTTGATTTTACTGAAACTTGAAAAGTCTTTTAAAATGCATGTTGTCTATTGTATGTAAATTTTATTAATTTAAGAAGTACATGACCTACTAGGTGTATTTAAGTTATTATATGCTGTGATGTATGATTAAAATTTAATCATAACTGTATTTAATTACTTTCAGAAACAGATAAACATTGTTTTATAATTATAAAAAGTATTTACAGATTTGTATGGGTTGGTGTGACTGCTACCACGACAGTTTAAATTTATTTTTAATCATAAGAAATACAACAAAAGTTTATGTTTAGCTCAGGACCAACAGTTATATCAGGATAAAAATCAGAAAAATACCCATTTAAAACTTCAATTTAGAAGAAAACTTAAATATGGAATGTTTATATTTATAAATAAAACGGAAACTCAAAACAAAATATGTATGATTGCCTGATTGGCGATTGCTGATATAAAATAAACATTAAATTTCTTCTTCCAGGTTACTCTTGAAAAATAATTCTTGTTCTGTCCCCCTCTTTGACACTAAACACCAAAAATATGAACACCAAAGGATTGAGTGTATAATATATACTACATTCACCATTTATATGCTAGTAGGCCTAGCGATAAATTGCAGGGTGAATTTTAATTGACATACTCCACTAATTATAAACTTATAAACTTTGATAAACATTGATAAAACTACTTATTACTTACTTGGATCGGCTTTCAAGAATATTTTAGAGGTAACATCATCTAGTGAGTGAATATAGAGTTTTATAAAAGCCTTTACATTGTTGTATGCTTTAAACAAATAATTTGCCCAGACGGATTTTTGTACCGACACAATTTTTAAAATGGCATAATCGAATCACAGTTTAACTTGTACCCTGAACAAAGAAGTTATTAGAGGATAACCAACACTTTGAAAGGATAATCAAAAATATATCTATCTAATAGAAGAGAAGAAGAGGTACTTTCAAAAACTAAACTCTTCTAATCAAACAAACAATTTTTAATGATGTTAGGGATGGAGTCAGCGATTTAATTAGAAGCTGCCACACCAAACCATGTTAAAACAGAAAAAGCGTCTAGAAGTGATTTCACAGTGCTTAGAGTTCGTCCTTTGGAACCAGTAAGGATAGGTCCAAACCATAACCTCAATTCAATATACCTTAGTATCTCCTGGCTTGGAGGAGTCTTTTAATTTTAAATCATCCTTCGCTTGAGAACTCTGTAAACAGTTGGACAGTTATAGAATGGGCAGTAATGTGTTGTTGACAGATGTGTGTAAATTATCCTTGATGAATGTCTACTACCAAATGTTTGGATGTCAAAACAAATATTACATTAGCATTACAACATTCATAAAACTCTGTTAAGATAAAGTCTCCAGCTTAAATTTAAAAATACTCTAAAATACACTAAAATTCCAAAAAAAATTAGCTATTTTCTTAAAATTTTACTTTTTTCAATACAAGAACTTGGAAGCAAATAATTTTAAGACTACTTAAAAATATTGCAATGAGTAAATGGTGAATATTTTTTAGATGTTTTGACAAAAGAGACATTTTTTAAGTTTATAATTTAAAATTTATTGCAAATTGTTGTCTGACATTACCTGTCTACTTAAGTTGGATAAACATCAGAACAAAAGTACCTAAGTATCGGAACAAAAGTACAATACTACTTAAGTATAGGAACAAAAGTGTTGAAAAGAGCAAAGTGGGGTTAAAAATTGTACTTATAGGAACTGAAGAAAAATCACAAATCACACAATACTATCAGCAGCAATGAAAAAATTTTTTTAAAGTAAATAGTTAAAATTCTAAAAATCAACTCACTGGAGCTTTATGCCTTGATTACAAGGATTTATGATGAGGTTTGTTTGTGTTTGTTTAAAGTTCATGTTTGGAACTTGTAAATTATTTGTTCAAAGTAATTACTTTAAATTTATTCACTTCATTTAATTGTAGAATTTATATCAATTAATGTATACATTTGAATGCATTATAAAGTACAATGTTACACTTTCAACCTTAGGTTTTATACAAGAGGTAGTTATGTTAGTGTATCGTTATATTGTGTTAACATGGCAATATTCCAACCCCCTGCGTCAGTGTTAACTTATTGGACTGCATGCAAGTCTTATTTCTAACCAGATATTATTACAATGCCTAAAGTACATCTTTCAAATGATTCAAGTATTGACTATGTTGTTGTTCTTTTTACATTTTCAGGAAACTAACATTCAGAACAGTGGCATTGATTAGTGATTAGTTAGTTAACTGTATAAATTTGTATGATGTTAGGGCTTGTTATTAAATTACCTGTTAAATTGTTTATACAAAGATGCTTATACTGTATTCATGAAACATAAAAGAATGATTGACTAGCTCTTCTGATGCATGTGACATACGGCAGTAAAATGCTGTGACAAGTGATAAGTAAGCCTAATTTGGTGTTTAATGGATAAAATACTTCATTGAACTTAAATATATTGCAATCTATTCCAAATGTAATGAGCAATGCTATCAGTGAAGGTGGTTTGTGATCAAATTAAACGTATGTGATTAAACTTAAACTAACCAAGGGCACAGGACAATCAGGCATCTTTAACAGCCATTTCTCAGTGGTGGGATTTTGTTTCCCTCAATTAGTTTCAGATATCTATCAGTGTTTCATTAACTGGATCGATTAATAATTAAGTTTAATTTTAGTTTACAGATAGGACCAGTATTTAAAAGTCAAGTGTCCAATAACTAAACAGGGTTGGGCAAAATTATGGTCACCCCTATTAACATTTTAATTTGTTTAAAAAAATAAATAAATAAATAAATAAACATACACTTTTTTGTTGGCATCCCAATTTTGTCCTCAACCGCAAAAGGGGGTATTTCAGGGCCAGCTCAAGAATTTTAAATGTAAAGCCCCATTAAGTTGAGTATTGGTCTCTAACTCGACCTGTTGTAGAATGGAAGTCACTTGTTGGGACTTTGCAGTCAAATTTTTTGAGCTGCCCCCAAAATACCCCTTTTAAGATTCCCAAAAAATTGGTACACAAAAAAGTTGTACATTTATACCATATAGAGGTGTGTCAAGTTTTGTTTTCTTTGTGTCAAACCTTAATAGGGGGTGGCCATACTTTTGCCCAACCCTGTACAATTTCATAGACTATTGAGCCTTGGTCAAAATATTAATTTGTTGGAAATAATTTATGATAGCAAAATTACTATGTATTAAAAATTGTAACACTATTTTAGATTTTGTTATGTTATGATTTTTTATTATAAAAAAGTATGAAGTTTAACAACTATACCTCAGCTATGTAAATTGAATATTTTTGGTACATTAACATGTCTATATACCATATCAAAATACATTTTAATATTAAAGAGTGGTAAAAAGAAAAAAATCAATGTGATGCAAAAATGTGACTGAAATCTTACTAATATTTTGTCACCAACTCATCAAGCCAAATCATCAAGCCACCAACAGTGTGGATTACCAGCGTTATTCTGAGATACTTACCGGTGTACTGAACAACATGCTGCTCTCGTACCACAGCATAAAGTAGAGCCATACTAGGGCGATGGGGGAGACAAACGATGCCCACTCCTCATCTGACACATGGCCAGACCTAGGGTCTACACACTCTGTCGTCTGCAACGCTGTCAGGCCTAGGTACCTGCAAGTTATAAAACAAGAAGTAGAGCCACACTAGGGCGATGGGGGAGACAAACAATGCCCACTCCTCATCTGACACATGGCCATACCTAGGGTCTACACACTCTGTCGTCTGCAATGCTGTCAGGCCTAGGTATCAGCAAGTTATAAAACAAGAAGTCAAGCCACAAAGGAAGGGAAATTACGCCCATTTCTGCCTAGAAGTCATGAATAGTTATCTCTTACCAACTAACGAATATTTCAAGTATATTTATTGTTTTAAACCTCTAATCAGTTATTGAACACTTTTGGTTTTTTCAACATTTAGTTACACCTTACATTCCTGTAGAAAAGAACAGTTACAATTCACTTACATAATTGAATATGACAATTGGTAATCTCTCTGGGGTGTATAATTCAATTCCGACCCAAACAAATTTGTTTTGAAAAAAATAAGTTATCCCAAAAAAAAACTATGTAGGCTATATAAAATAATTAAACCCAGAGTCAATAAAAATCCTACCTATATGTTTTATACTGTTTACCTAGCTATGGGGGCATCTCTGGGCAGGAACTCCTGGAACCATTGCATCTGGTAGAGGTAGAGTGTAATGATATGTCCTGCCACAGGAAGCGACAAAAGGCGACAGACAACAGCAAACTTCTTGCCTAAGTCCTTGTTGAATGCCCACCATGTCATGGTCAGCAAGAACACAGCAAAGTACACCCCACTGAGCACCGATGGCCTCAGGATCCCAGCTAGACACAGCGATGCCAGCACCAGGTACTTGCCTAAAACACCAGTTTAAGCTTTAGCTTTGACTGTAGATTGCAGTAGACATTGCATTCTCATATTAAATTTTATATCTAGTTTTTGAATCAAAGTGATTAGTGTAGAACTGATCCTTCGACAAAGTAGGCTATGCTGATGTCAGCAACTGATTTCTGTCGTACAAACTACTTTGTGTTTTGATTGTTTTTGCAAAAATTCTTGCACCATTGAATCTAAAACCTTTTAAACTACAAAGAATAAAGTAGACGAAGCATAACAACTTCTACATTCGGTTTAAGTGGGTTTATTAAACTTACCAAGGATGGTGAGCAGAGAGTACTTTCTACGCTCGGTGATCTGGTCCGTGTCGCTGGTTGGTGAAGCGATGACGGGCAGCAGCTGGTCATCCTCCAGCCGATGTCGTCTGTTGAGAGCCCGACAGATGACCAGCACCAGAATAGACACAGATAGCATCAGCACCTCGGGAGTGAGGATCCTTATAGCGTCTAGTGGTCGGATGTCCATCAACTGTACCAACCCAGCATACCGGCAGAACCTCTCCATCTCACTGCCTGTGTCATAAAGGCATACATTTTAGAGGTGACAGGCATGACACATAAAAACATGGGTTTGTTCATGGCGCTCATACTTTCTCCTTATATATATAAGTACGGTACTTTAAATATTTACAATTTTTCACAACTTAGAAAAGGTGGGTACAAAAATTTAAGATTTGTGTTAAATGCACTAGTGTTTGTTTGCAAAGATGTTTAATATACTTGCAACATAAAGTTGATTCAAATATAGAAAATTACAGTCTACTATTGCTTTTATTAATCAACGTCCAATCCAGCCTGTGGAAACATGCACACATTCGTTTTATATTACCTATCTAATGTATACCTATCAGCAATCATTTATGTTTTGGTTTTCGGTTTTGTGTAAACTGAGTTTGTGTTTAACTTGAAGAAACCTTAAGGCCTCTTTTATGCACAGCAGCAGCGGTTTTTGTCACCAATTCTCAAAATAATTCTCAAGAAATTTGTAACTGCACGGAATAGCCCGCTGGTCTTTTTGTCAACCATGGTTGCAGAAGTGCTATCAAAATAATTAGTTACTCACTATAATATTTTGTTGACATGGACTCTTGTATGATTGCGTTTACTTTTTTTCTGTCTAAAATAATGCAGCTTACATTAATTAATACACAAAAGCAGGTGTTGTTTAGGTGATAAAATCATAAAGTATGAACTAATATTTAGAAATTCTACCGAGATCAAGGCTAATAATAATTTTAATATAACCTCAGTAGTGAATTTTTAGAGGGCCTTTAAAATATTTTACTATCAAGTTAACTAATGGAACATGGAAAAAATCAGTAATTCTTTCATCTACAGCGTTGGGCAAATGTGTGGATACCCCTAGTTAACTTTTTAACGCGTTGCAATAGGAAAACCTAACTCGACACATATTTACAACATAAGAAATGACACTTTTTCATCAAAGTTACAACTTTGCCCCAGCCCCCAAAATGGGGTATTTTGGGGGCAGCCCCAAATTTTCAAAAGTAAACACCTATAATGTGACCCCTCATTTTAAAGGGTTTATTAAGAGAAATTGAATGGCGCAAACCAGAGGTCAATATCGCACGCCTAATCAAAATGGCAGCCATTTTAATTTAACATGAGCAATCATGATAAAGTCTGGACACCCCCAGTTAACTTTATAACGTGTGGCAGTGGGAAAACCAAACTCGGCACATATTTACAACATAAGAAATTGCACTTTTTCATCAAAGTTACAACTTTGCCCCAGCCCGCAAAATGGGGTATTTTGGGGGCAGCCCCAAATCTTTAAAAGTAAACACCTATCATGTGACCCCTCATTTTAAATGGTTTCTCAAGACAAATTAAATGACGCAAACTAGAGGTCAGTATCGCACCCCATATCAAAATGGCAGTCATTTTGGAATATCCCCAATCAATTTTTTAACAGGTTATAGCAGGAAAACTAAACTCAGCATACCTTTATAAAAAAAGAGAATTCACCTTTTGGTCAGTATTGAAATATTTAATTTTTAAAGTTAACTGGGGGTGTCTAGACTTTATCATGATTATTACTCATCTTAAATAATTAAAATGGCTGCCATTTTGATTAGGCGTGGGATATTGACCTCTGGTTTGCGCCATTCAATTTCCCTTGATAAACCCTTTAAAATGAGGGGTCACATTATAGGTGTTTACTTTTGAAAATTTGGGGCTGCCACCAAAATACCCCATTTTGGGGGTTGGGCAAAGTTGTAACTTTGATGAAAAAGTGCGATTTCTTATGTTGTAAATATGTGTCGAGTTAGGTTTTCCTATTGCAATGCGTTAAAAAGTTAACTAGGGGTATCCACACATTTGCCCAACCCTGTATATTTTAAATAGGAGGTTTAATAGTTAAAACAACAATTAAATAACAATAACCACCTGTATAACGTAATATAGGTACTATATATATAACTTGCTGTTATAATACATAGCTTTAAAGTACATCTACAATTACAGGTAGGATGTTAGGTCAGCATGAATTAGTACAAACGGTCTAGGATGTTAAAAAAGTAAAAAACATTCTGTGTAAAAAATAATGTATTTACAGGACCAAGAGGGTCGGCAGCACTACAACAGGGATGATATCTGCTGCTGTGCATTAAAGTCCCATAAAATTCAATGTGTCAAACTCAAACTGCTACAGAGTCACAATCTGTAAGTCTGCTGCTCTGGACTTGCAGGTCCCTACAATTGAGCGGGTCGGACCTACAAAGGTTTATGTGCTTATGTTCAAAGAAGAAAATGCCTGTTATTACCCACTTAATCATTTAAATTGGCAGTGTTATTCATAGAAGCAGAATTACAACAGCTGGGAGCAAACAATGGATCGTAAACATTACATTTGTCAAGTACTGTACCAAGAAACAAAACTCCTTAAAAGTGACCAGTTTACAGGCAAAAGTGATAAGTCTCACTTTGAAGATACGATTTTGTTGAGGATTTTATATAGTATTGCTTTGTTTAATGCTATATAATCAAATATCTTTTTAATGTGTCTTTTAATATCAGCTGCTTGTGATTATTTTGTTGTTCTAATATGTTCACAGTTTGAAGTGTTAATGTTTTAATATCTTTCCTTTTTACATCAATTATTAATAAAGTATTGTAGGTATTTTATTCCCTCATTTCATTAGGTTACGGGCCCAGAAGACGTTTTTGATATAATTCATTTTGAATATGTATAAAACTACATTAAAATGAAGAATTCTGGACTGATTGTGTTTGGTAAGATTTCTAGGCTTATGAACAATATTTTGTTACCTAATTTCTTGAACTGAATTTTTATGTTGTTTGACCTAAAATGGAAACTACACAAGAAAACACTAATACAACTCCTACTATTACACCTACCTCAAGTAATACAGGATTGTCTAGTATCACAAATATTATAATGGGAGGAAATAGTAATGTTGAACGTCTAGAGGGTGTTTCAAATTATAACAATTGGAAGTTTTCAATGAAAATGGCATTAATAATTGATGGACTTTGGGATTGTGTATCTAATGATACTGAAATCAAAGATAAAAACAGGGATCAAAAGGCTCTTGCAAAAATTTGTTTAAATGTTTTGCCTACTTGTTATCCTTATGTTAGGAATGCTAACACTGCTAAAGAAGCTTGGAATAATCTCCAGAATGCTTTTGAAAACAAAAGTTTGGTTAGAAGACTTAGTCTTTTAAGACGTTTACTTAAAACTAAATTGGAAGATTTTAGCACAATGGCAGACTATGTAAATGGGACTTTGTCCTTAGTTCAACAGTTAGCAGACATAAATCACATTGTTGGTGATGAAGAAGTTGCAATGTTACTTCTGGGTGGTTTACCTTCAGAATATGAACCGCTTATTATGGGTATTGAAGTTACTCAAACAACTGTCTCAAGTGAGTTTGTTAAAACTCGTCTCTTACAAGAGGATTTTAGGAGGTCTGAAAATACTTCAACTGGAAGTGAATCAACTTTGGCAATTAAAAATTCTTATGCCAAGAAAATTGAGAAGTTTAAAGATTCAAAAGGTAAGTTTAGACCACAGAAGAAACTTATTTGCCATCATTGTAACCAACCTGGACATATTAAGCCTAACTGTCCTAATCTTGGCAATAATTCTCAGCACAGATCTAAGGCAAATTATGTTGGGAAACACAAAGAAGAGGACAATGTGTTGCTTACAACTGTTTTCCATATTGAAAATATAAAATCTTATGAATCCAAAGTTGATCATAATGATTGGGTAATTGATTCAGGTTGTACAACTCATATGAGTAATCAAATGGTGAAAAATGGTAAGTTTGAAAAGAAGGAAGTTTTGGTGGCCAATAATGCAAAACTTACAAGTAATTGTGTTGGTGATATTGAACTTTATATAGAAAATTCTAATAAAGTTACTGTTAAGGATGTTTTATACATACCAGAACTTGCTACTAATTTGTTGTCTGTAAATAAAATTACAGAAAAAGGTAAAATAGTAGTTTTTGACAAAGATTCGTGCAGAATTTATTCAGAAAATGACTGTCGAATAGAGGGAAATAGTGACATTTCTGCTGTGAATGACGGTGGTGTATATAAACTAAACTTAATTCAGCCAACAGAGTTGAATGGTCACTCTGAATTCAAAGAAGATAATTCATCAGCTGCTCTTACAGTTGCTACCAAAGGTACGTGGCACCGTAGATTAGGCCATCTAAGTCATAAAGGAATGGATTTACTAAGAAATGGTTTAGTTAATGGAGTAAATTATTCAAAATCAGAAAAGGAGAATACTTGTACCACATGTATTGAAGGTAAGATAACAAGAAAATCTTTTCCTAAAGGTCAAAGTATCAGAGCTACTTCATTACTTGAGCTAATTCATTCAGACTTATGTGGACCAATGTCAGTTAAAAGTTGGGGTGGATCTCTTTATCTTTTAACATTCACCGATGATCTCTCAAGAAAAACTTTTGGTTATTTACTTAAACACAAAAATGAGGTTTTAAGTAAGTTCAAAGACTTCAAAATGGAAGTAGAAAATCAAACTGGCTTTAAAATTAAGCGCTTGAGAACTGATAATGGCAAGGGTGAGTATGTTAACAAACAATTTGCAGATTTTCTACGTTTAAATGGCATTGTTCATGAGACCACTATACCCCACACTCCAGAGCAAAATGGTGTAAGTGAACGTGTTAACCGAACACTAGTTGAAAAGACAAGATGTTTACTTCAAGATTCAGGTTTAGGAAAACGATATTGGGGAGAAGCTATAAACACAGCTATCTATTTGAAGAATCGTAGTCCTACAGCAGCTTTAAAGAATGCAACACCAGAGGAAGTTTGGACTGGTTCAAAGGTTGATCTAAGTCACTTGCGGGTTTTTGGCTGTAAAGCTTATGTTCATATTCCCAAATGTTACAGAAAGAAACTTGACACAAAAGCAAAGCCTTGTATTATGGTTGGATATTGTGAACATTCCAAAGGCTACAGACTAATTGATCCTAAGAAACCTT